ATTCTGGCTCTGACACTGTCTTTGCTGTGTGACCTTGGGCAAGTCATTTCACCTCGCTTGGTTTCCCTCCATGCCACAAGGAAAGTCGTATGGATTTTTGAGTTAGTTACTGCTGCTAGAGGGTTCTGAAGCAGATGACTATCCCCTGCATTTAGCAAGTGCTAAGGGGTTCTGTGTGACACCCCGTCTCAAAGTCCTGTATTGGTCAGAACTCCCTCTGAGAACTAACTGAGAGTGTGAAGGCCCCAGCGCTGCATCAAGAGGCCGTGTGTGTTCAAGCGCAGGGAGAGATGCGCTGAGATGGATGGCAAAGGAATGGACCGGCTCGATAACTCGCTGTGAAGTCATTCATTATGAGGAGTAGTTGTTTTGAAACCAGCCCGCTTCCCTATCTGTGAATCCTTTAGAAACCAACCTTATTGTCTGCAAATGCCTTTACTGAGCAAAGATCTTTGCTGAGACTTTTGGACAAGCAGCATCCAACCCTCTGTGTCTTTTAGGAACTGCTCACTTGCTGACTCTGTGCTAGTTGTTATTCTTCACAGTATGTGATTGGTTGCCTACATTACACGGTTTTAATTTTGCTTCCTCATTGGCTGATTAAAACAGAAATAGCAAATGACTGAAAGCAAATACCAACTGAGGCAATGAACCCTTTGTTCTCCTGCCAGTTTGGATACTGCGAGGGCTGCAGCTACCCCTCCTATGGTTTGTACATGCAAATAATAAACCAGCTATGGGTGCCTGAAGTCACCTGTGAGTTCCAACCATGGCTCTGCTCTGCAGCATTCAGCCGGCTCTGTGAATCTCTAAACTGTGAATCCCATAGGGTTTATTGAAGTGAGTGTCTCATTGATGTCAGCGGGACAGATCTGAGTACTACACACTGCTCCCTGTAACATTAGTAGAACCCGGGTCGTAACACCTATTGCACTGTAATTTGTCCACCCGCATTAGGGGGGACAGATAACGGTGTGAGTCATGATCAACAGTATTCAGTGCAATTCTTCATACAGTGATAGATGCAAGAGACTCGATCTATCCAGCGTAACCAAGAGTTGCTTAAGGGGTGACTTCACGACAGTCTGTAAGCCCCTTTGCAGGGAACAAAGATGCGATAGTGCAGATTTCAATCAAGCAGAGAGAGAAAAAAGGCTGGAGGCTGAATCTGAGCAAATTCAAAACGGAAATAAGGTGCAAAGGTTTCACAGTGAGGATAATTAACTAGGCTCGTGGCTAGGGAAGTGAATGGGTAACCGGTTAACCAATTCCCAGGAGTGGCCACAGGCAGATGGTTGCCCCCACACTAGGGCTAGGAGCCGGTGACAGCCCCAGGATCCTGCTTAGTCGATTAACCAGTTAAAGGTCGGGCTAACCTAAAGTTTAATCGGTTAGCTGATTAATCGGAATATTACATCCCTAGTCATGGCGGATTCGTACCGTCAGTAGGATTCTAAATCAAGATGGGATGCATTTGGAAAAGATCTGCCCTAGGTCAAACAGGGATTCGTTCTGAAAGGTCCTATGGAGTGTGTAATACAGGAGGTCAGATTAGGGCCCAGCAACTCAAAGATGTTTAGGTGCCTAACTCCCATGGGAGTCGAGGGGAATTGGGTGCCTAAATGCAGTGAGTAGCTGGGCCTAGGGGACCACGGTGGCCTTATAATCTGTGTACAACAGGAGCTGGCCTGCCGGCCAAGAGAGCCCCTGCCCGTCAGCCTGGTCCTAGAGGTGAGGGAAGTAGGGTACAGGGAGTGCTGCCACTCCCCCAGGTTTTGCACCCAGTTCTCCTGTGCCCAGGGGAGGGCAGCCCCTCTGGGGTCTTGTCAGCTTCAGCCCTCCCCCTCGCCAGGGTCCTGCTATCCTCATGGCTCTACAGCCTGCCATCCCCTGGGTCCAAGCCACCGGCCCTGCAGGCTCCACTGTTGCTTGGGGGCTGGAAGAGACCTCAGGAGGTCATCGAGTCCAACCCCCAAAAGTTTTCAAGGGGGCAGTTGGACGGACTTGGCCCATGTGGTTGTTTTGCTGTGTGGAGGTGTAGCCAAAATGTAATATTTTAGTGTCTGTATAAGAATAGAGTGAGTATAATGAAGTTAATTAATCCTATATAGCGTTTTGCTTAAAAGATCTATATGCTTGACAAATATGCATTGTGTAAGCTAATAAATGCACACCCCATGTTAAGGCAGGAAGAGACCATAACTTCTGAGAGTCATTTCTTTTCCTTAGGATCAATGGTGGCATTCACTTGGCACCCAGCAGGTGACATTACAAACCTGCAGCCCTGGCCGTTCCAACATGCATTTCGGGAAATGCCATCGTTAATTATAGATAGCAGCCACAGAGCTAAACCCTGCCCACATCTGTTTGTGCAGGGCAACAACTGCAAACACCTGACAAATCCAGATGTGGCTTTGGAAACTCAGGAAGAAGCTGAAAGGCTACAAATTCCGTATGTGTCTGAGGTTCCCATCGAGCTAAATATATAGTTATCGCTTTCACATATCTTATTACCCTGTTCTCGACCCTTTTTATTTATATTTGATGCTGATTTTCCACTGCCCTGCACTGTGAAGTCATTTCCACAAGACACGGTGGATGTAAAACACTACTGGTTCAGGAAGATAACAGTTCATTCCTACTTTGTGTTTCCTTTGCTTGGGTGTAAATAACAGAACAAGATGCAAGGCAGAACGGGTCCGGTCCTCACTAAAGGCGCATCAACACAGGATGTTACACTGGTATAAATTTATACTCCTGGACCAGTGTGAATGGAAACTCTTTCCAGAGTTCAGAGTGACGTTTTCCGGTATAGCTTAAACTGCTTCAAAATCAGCATAAGCTGTAGCAGAGAGTATCACTCTGCTATAGTTATACCAGCCTAGCTATTGCGGCATATTTAAATCACTGTGGTTCTATTGGTCAGTTTCCCCTCACAGGCAAACCCTGGGCTAAAAGGTTTACTTGTGTAAATCAGACTAGTTAACAAGTGTTAACACCTTCGTGCAGACAGGAAACCATGCTAGCTGGTGGTGAAACACGTTGAAATACCTTTTGTGGTGTTAAAATATGTTCTAACAGTGCCTAGTTCTTACACAGCACTGCTCCCTGTTAAGCTGAATGCACTTTCCAAGAATCCTTATTATCCCTAATTGATATAAGGGGAAACTGAGGGTATGTCTACACTACCCCGCTAGTTCGAACTAGGAGGGTAATGTAGGCATACCGCACTTGCAAATGAAGCCCGGGATTTGAATTTCCCGGGCTTCATTTGCATAAGCGGGGAGCCGCCATTTTTAAATGCCGGCTTGTTCGAACCCCGTGCTGCGCGGCTACACGCGGCACGGGCTAGATAGTTCGGAATGGCTTGCTAGTTCGAACTATCTGTACACCTCGTGGAACTAGGGTGGTAGTGTAGACATACCCTCTGTCCTTATGCCCCTCCCAGCTCCCAGCTGTTCACAGAGGCTACCAAGCCCGCTTATGCAAATGAAGCCCGGGAAATTCAAATCCCAGGCTTCATTTGCAAGTGCGGTATGCCTACATTACCCTCCTAGTTCGAACTAGCGGGGTAGTGTAGACATACCCTGAGGCAGCAAACCCAGGCTGGGATTTGCCCAACGTTCCCTAGAAATCCCTTTGGCAGAGCTGGGAGTGGAATCCAGGTCTCCTGCACTTCCATACACATTAGCACATTCGAGAAAGGGTGGAGGTGCACAAATGTCTCAGCGGGTTTAAGCCGCACAGGAAACACGGGGCAAGATCCAGACTTAGGGTTGCCAGGTGTCCGGTTTTCGCCCGGACTGTCCGTTTTTCGGATCCCCGTCCGGTAAAAAAAAACAGAAAATACTGGACATGTGAAAGCCCAGAAGCTCTGCGGGGGCAGTGAGGAGTTCAGGGCCATTTAAAGACGCAGTGCCCTTTTTTTCTCAACAACTTTGGTCTCTCCCTCCCCTCCCCCCCCAAGAGAATTTTTTGTTAAAACATCTGGCAACCCTATCCAGACTTGGAGTGAAAAGTACGAAAGGACTGAACTGGCTCGATTCCAGCACATTGATATGAAAAGGAAGTGGTCAGAGGAAGCAAATGACAAGCCACACGCTGCATCTCTGAGCCTTATCTGCCATGCTTTGTTTGGAGGGAGCCTAGCCACGGGCGGGCAAAGAGCTTGAGAGAGAAGGGTCAAACCCAGTACCTTTTGGAGTCATGTACATGGAGAATCTCTTCAGGCTGTCCGGCTGGCTCCACTCGTAGTTGTTGAGCATGTAGCGGTTATCCCCTGGAACAGCAGATCAGAGTCTGGGTTAGCAAGAGGTAGGACTGGAAGTGGCAGAGGCAAGCTGGGGGGAGGGATAGATTGGAGCAACAATCGGCGTAGGGTTGTTCCCCTTTGGCTTTCCACAGACCTTTACAGAGAGACCATTTTGCCCTTGCTTACAAACTTCCTTAGCTTTGCAAGTCCTGCTAGTGCTCCTTGGAACACCCTAGTGATGGCATTTGTGCAGCACGTGCTATATAAGTGGATAGCTTGCTGCAGAGGAATGAATTTTCTCCTTGGAAATCACTGCACCTTTGAAATGTGGCCGCCATTCTGCCAGAGATCAGGATGGGGCGAGAACTACACTTTCATCCACTGAAACGTTAGGAACGATTTGACCAGCCAGGCTGTTGTTTGCTCCATTAGCGTTTGGCCTGAACGTGCAGGTTAATATTCGAGCTAGTCAGGAATTGTTTACAAACTGGACTTTGAAATAAGAAAAAAGCGTCTCCGGAAGTTTTGACTTAGTTTCTTAGCTCCGTGCTGGAATCGTTCAGTAAAACAAGAAAGATGGACAGACTGGCCCAGAACAGCCACTTCAATGGTTAGGCCCTGGGAAGTGGAAAATGAGGTTCAAGTTCTGGTTCGGCCTGATTTCCAGATTTGAATCCATCTCTCTCTCATTCCAGGTGGGTGCCAGGTGGTCCCTCCCTCTCCAAAATATTTGCAAACGTTTCATTTCAAGCAAAACAGGAACTTTTTCTTTTTCAGAGAAATCTCAAAAATGTTCATGGGCGGGGAGGAGAAGGAGGGGGACAGTTTTATCGCCTGGTGCTAGTTAGCAACCCTCCCCTTCAAGTAGGTACACCCTGAGATCTTTAAGGATAGCAAGTGGGCATAAATGTGATTGTATATTCCATCCAGAGGACAGGACCTCCGAGCTTCCGACCGCCTCCTACTGACAAATGCGCGGAAGTAGAGACTCACTTAGCTATTTCTCCAAGGACTCCCACCCCAATGCTGATGTGTCTCATCCTGCTTAGCCGTCTGTCCCTGCTGCCTCTCTGCAGGTAGGAAGATTTCAGAGCCAGGGGAGCCCAAGAGGAAGAAGTGAATCAGCCCTGCAAAGTTGGAAGCTGTCTGATCAGGCTACATCTACGCGACGAGTTTTCTCAGCAAAAAATATGCAAACGAGGGACTCATTTGCATGAGTCACTGTCTCATTTGCATATTTTCTGCCGATCCGTTTTTGTGCTGGGGTTTTTGTGCAAAAACAAGCAATGTGGACGTTTTCTTTTTGCACAAAACCCCCTTTTTCTGCAAGATCGGGATACTCCTTTATGGGGGCATAGGATCTTGCAGAAACATGGGTTTTTGTGCAAAAAGAAAATTTCCACACTGCTTGTTTTTGCGCAAAAACCCCAGTGCAAGAACGGATTGGCAGAAAATATGCAATTGAGATCGCGACTCATTTGCATATTTTTTTGCTGAGAAAACTCGTAGTGTAGATGTAGCCTGAATGAGTTAAACACTGAATGCATAACATTAAACATCCACCCTTGGGTCGCCCTACATCCGACGTGCACTGCTCCTTGCAAAGCCAGCTAACCAGCTCCTTCCCCATTATCCTGTCACTGACCATGCATAAGATGCTTGTTGTTTTACTCCTTATCGTACTACCTCTGTATAAAACCCATGGTACGCCCTCATCTTGAATACTGTGTACAGATGTGGTTGCCTCATTTCAAAACAAAGATATATTTGGGGAAAGGGTCAGAAAAGGGCAATGAAAATGTTTAGGGGTACGGAACAGCTTCCATCCGAGGGGAGATTAGTAAGGTGGCTATGGGGGATGTGTAGAGATCTATAAAGTCATGACTGGCGTGGAGAAAGTGGAAAAGGAAATGCTATTTTCTCCTTCTCGTACTGCAAGAACTAGGGAGAGCACCCAGTGAAATGAATAGGTAGCAGGTTTAAAGCAAACAAAAGGAAACATTTCTTCACACAATGCACTGTCAACCTGTGGAACTCCTTGCCAGAGGATGTTGCAAAGGCCAAGACTATAACAGCGTTCAAAAAAGAACTAGATACATTCATGGAGAACAGGCCCATCAGTAGCTAGTAGCCAAGATGGGCAGAGATGGTGTCTGCCAGAAGCTGGGGATGGGTGACAGAGGAGGGGTCACTTGATGATTCCCTGTTCTGTTAATTCCCTCTGGAGTACCTGGCATTGGCCGCTGTCGGCAGACAGGACACTGGGCTAGCTAGACCTTTGGTCTGACTCAGACTGGCCATTTTTATATTCTCTTCAGGGAAGCCATCTGTCTCTGCAAGCCCCTGGGAAAGGTGTTGAGTGGGGCGGGGGACGCTCTGTGCTCCTGGAAGGAACGGGGCCTCATGTAGAAAGGGCGGAGCCAGGGCAACCAACCCTCCACAGTGCCCCTCCCCCAGCTCTCAGAGCTGCCAAGAACCCACGGCACTCCAGTGGCAATTTAAAGGGCCGGAGTGTCCAGCCTTTTGAATGGCTGGGTCCCACGGCAACTGCCTCCTTTGCCCCCTCCCCACTGGCAGGCCTGATCCTCTGTGACCTGGGGATGGGGCTTTCTCTGAATGTGGCGAGGAAACAGAAAGGGGAGGGTGTGGAGGGAGGAGCAGCTCCGGAAAACGCTACCATTCTCCATGTGATTCCTCTCTATGAAGTTCCGGCTGAGGTCGCCCTTGCAGACCTTCTCCACGTGCCTCATGCAGACGTTGAGCAGGTCGTCCCGGAGGAGCCCCATGGACGGGCTCATGCAGTCGCCTTCCAGCAAGACGCTGTAAGTCGGGAGGGAGGGAGGAGCCGTGTAGTTCCTCATCATGGCTCCAAATTCCTGCCAACCAGAAGGCATGAAGGTTAAAGAACCAAGAAGCGAGGATGCAGGGGAGACTACGGAGAGACTCAGGTCGGGGAGAGGTTAGATACAATGGGGGATAGGGCGTTGGATTCCAACACCTCTCCAGAAGCCAATCCACTCAGTGTGTGCCCCACTCAGAAGGGATCCAGTAGTTTGGAACGCCCTCTGACCTGGTGAAAGCCTTGCCTACCCACTCAACTAGCTGATTCTTGCTTATGTCAGGTGTCTCCAAAATGCAGACCCTCACACATCACCGCAAGCTTGCCAGCAGACCTCATTCTCTTGTAGCCGGAGCAATGCCTGTGGCACCAGCTGGACCATCTGCCTGTCAGTGGAGGAAAGAGGCAGCCTCGATTTACCTGCAGGAAGAGCACCGAGTCACTGATCTGATGTATCTGGTCCCTGGTTTCCTTGTCCTCTTGCAGTAGCTTTGCCCTCTCTTCTAGCTCCTCCACAATTTCTTTTATGTTCTCCACTGCGTGTTTTTCTCTCTGGTCCAGGGCAACCTTCACCTCTTCCCGCTGCTTTTCCAGGTCCCGGATCAGCTCTTTGAAGTGCTGCTCCACAGTGGCTTTCTCGTTGGTGGTGAAGTTCTAGTGGGAGGGAAAATAGAAGGTGCATGGCATGAGGATCTCGGACCGGAGACTCCAGCAATCTAACACTGACCCGCAGTATATGCTCAGGAGAGCATAATGTTGGAGACACACCTCCTTCCCCAGCACCCAGCTAGTCCAGACATGGCCAGGCCTCTTAAGCCCACAGGGCAGCATTTGTGCATGAAGATCCCCCATGCTACCAATGTGCAAGCTGGAAATCCTAGACTGTACCAGGAGAAGTGTAGCATGGAGACTTCTTAGATGGCAAGGTCTCTGGGTTAGGGACTGTGGCTGTGTTTGTGCAGCGCCTAGCACAATGCGTGGGGTTTCTGAATGCTACTTAAAAGGAGTCACTTATTGAGACTGGGTCTCCGGAGGGCAGGTGGCAGAGACATACTCAGCAGCCAGCCCATGGGAACAAATCCTACCCTAAGATCTGGGAGACACTAGAAAAGTTACATTGATATCATTCTGTTTGGGCGTGTCTAGACTACAGTGTTTTTTTCGAAAAGAGTAGCCTTTTTTCAAAAAAACTTCCCCTGCATCTAGACTGCTGCCACATTCTTTCGAAAATAAATCGAAAGAACGCGGCAGTTTTTTCGGCCATGGAAAACCTCGTTTTACGAGGAAGAACGCCTTCTTTCAAAAGTGCTATTTCGAAAAAAGGCGCTAGGTAATGCAAACTGTGCTTTTATGAAAGAGAACATCCAGCCTGCCTGGGCGCGCTCTTTCGAAAAAGCGGCTTGATTTTTCGGAAGTACTGGTTGTAGTCTAGTCGCTCTTTTTCAAAAGAGGCTTTTTCGAAAGTATCTTTCAAAAAAGCCTCTTTCGAAAAGGCGTGTCGTCTAGACGTACCCTTTGTTAGGAGGGTGGGAGTTCCCTATCAGTACGGCTATAACAGTATTACTTCTAGCATGGACATAGACTCGTATAAAGTTACCTTATGTGGATACAGTTTATATACAGCATACTAAGTTGTGCCAAAACTAGCACGTATGTGCTGGTGTATATATGTCTACACTTGGAGCGTTTTTCCATGTTCATTATACCAGTGTAGTGACCACAGCAAAAGTTTGTAGTGTAGTCAAGCCTGCATCCCTTTGACATCCGCAAGAGACCTAGGTTCTGAAAAAATGAGCAGTCCTGTGCTACCTAAAAACTAACACATTTATTTGGGCATAAGCTTTCATGGGCTGGAGCCCTCTTGGTCAGAAGACTTCTTGTTGTGCTTGCTGAAACACTTACATGGCTACCCCTCTGACAGGAGGTTCTGAAGTGATACATGAAAATAGGACTCTGGCTCGTGTGTCACTTAGACCCATGTCCTCAAAGAGATTTAGATGGCTCACCCCTAATGGAGCCAATGCCCGTTTGAAATTGTGACCCAGAATGACCATGGATCGTCCCATGTTCAGGCCTAAGCTTTCTATCTTGGTTTCCCACATGATACGAAAGGAAGAAAGCAAGCCAAGGTACTTCTGCTGCACAACTGTGGAACGTTCAGAGAAGGCGGGGTTTCTAGATGACTGCATAATGTGTTGGACCTGGTCTACATCCAGTGTTTGCCCAGGACGGGGGTGAATTCTTTTTGACTGATATTGACTCTGAATCCCTGGAACTCTACCAATAGAGTTGAACCAGCCCAAGCTTTTGTGTGTAGGCAAGCCTTCGGAGATAACCATGAAGTAGCTGGGTAGAGAGAGCGCCAGTAACCCCGGGAGGGATGTACCGTATATACTCGAGTATAAGCCGAGTTTTTCAGCACAGTTTTTGTGCTGAAAAATGCCCCCCTCGGCTTATACTCGAGTCAGCATCTCGAGAACTGAGGCGGGCAAAGCCGCAGAGGTGCGGGACCCC